TACTCATTGCCTCTGAGCTCCAGCACTGGGACAGCAGCTCAAAAGGCACCAGTGACATACAGGGAAGAACTGAATTGTTGGGCTTCTGGGCAAAGGCTGGAGAGGCAGCTTTCTCCCAGACATAGGTGCCAGCAGAGGCCATTGTTCCTTTGTTGAGCCCTCCCCGCACCAAACCCCGAGATGGGCACCCTATCTGAGTCTCCATCAACCTGGTTAACACCAATCACCCCGCCCTGGTAATTCTTTGAGACCCTACCCCACCTAACTTGCAGGCCCACTGAAGCTGCTTCCAATGACTTTTTCATACAAATGGCCTTTCTTGGCTCATACTGCAGACTTTCCTAAAACCTCTCAAAAGTTCACAAACCCAAAGAAGCAGCATCTGGCATTGGCATGCCCATATCTCTTGCTAAGAAGCCCAAGCAATCATTAGTGGCAGCCAGTCTTAGTTCAAGGCTTAGACTCTCCCAGGCACCTCTAAGCCAAGAACAAGTAGCAGCAATGAAGACCCAACTACAACAGAAGGGTACACACAACCCACACAGGGGGCACACCTAGAGCAACAGGCTCAAGTGACCAGGGAGACTGCACCACTGGGCCCCGTAGGACACCTACTACACAAGGCACTCTACCAAGACTGGGAGATGTAGCAGTTCTACCTAATACATAGAAACAAACATAGCAAGACAGACAAAATGAGGAGACAAAGAAACATGTCCCAAATGAGAGAACGTAACAAAACTCCAGAGAAAGAACTAAACAAAATGGAGACAAGCAATCTGACAGATGCAGAGTTCTAAACACTGGTTCTGAGGATGCTCATTGAACTTAGTGAGAAGTTCAACAAAAAGATAGGAAACATAAAAATGGAGATAGAAAACATGAAAAAGAACCAGTCAGAAATGAAGAATACAGTAAATGAGATGAAGAATACACTAGAAGGAATCAACAGTAAATTAGATGAAAGAGATGATTGAATCAGCGATTTGGGATATAAGGTAGTGGAAAACACCCAGTCAGAACAGAAAAAAACAAACCAAAAAAAACAGAACAACAACAACAAAAAAACAAGAATAGTTTAAGGTGCCTCTGGGACAACATCAAGTGTACCAACATGAGCATTATAGGGGTACCAGAAGGAGAAGAGAGAGAGCAAGGGATTGAGAACCTCTTTGAAGAAATGACAGAAAACTTCCTGGTGAAGGAAACAGACATACAGCCCAGGAAGCACAGAGAATTCCAAACAAGATGACTCCAAAGAGGCCCACACCAAGGTACATCATAATTAAATGCCAAAGTTTAAAGACAAAGAATCTTAAAAGCAGCAAGAGAAAAGCAGTTAGTTACCTACAAGGCAGCTCCCATAAGACTGTCAGCTGATTTCTCAACAGAAACTTTTCATGCTAGAGGGATTAGCATGAAATATTCAAAGTGATGAAAATCAAGGACCTACAACCAAGATTACCCAGCAAAACTGTTATTTAAAATCGAAGGACAGATAAAGAGCTTCCAAGACAAGAAAAAGCTACTGTAGTTCATCACCACCAAAGTAGTATTATAAGAAAGTTAAAGAGACTTCTTTAAGAAGAAGAAGGGAACAAAGATAAACAATGTGAATAATAAAATGTCAATAACTACTTATCTATCAGCAATTACTTTAAATGTAAATGGATTAAATGCTCCAGTCAAAAGACATAGGGTGGCTGAATGAATAAGAAAAGAAGACCCAAATATATGCTGCCTACAGGAGACTCACTTCAGATAGAAGATACACAGACTGAAAGTAAAGGGATGGAAAAAGATATTTCATTAAAATTAAAACAAGAAAAAAGCTGGAGTAGCAATACTTATACCAGCCAAAATAGACTTTAAAACAAAGGCTATAACAAGAGACAAAGAAAGACCCAGCAATTCCACTTCTGGGTATTTATGTGAAGAATCCCAAAACAGTAATTTGAAAGAATATATGCACCCCTGTTCATCGCAGAGTTATTTACAATAGCCAAGATATGGAGGCAACCTAAGTGCCCATCAATAGGTGAATGATAAAGGAAAAGTGATACATATATACAATGGAGTATTATTCAGCCACAAAAAAAGAACAAAATCTTGCCATTTGTGACAACATGGATGGACCTACAGGCTGTTGGGCTGAGTGAAATCAGAGAGAAAGACAAATGCTATATGATTTCAGTTATACAGTAAAACATCACAGGCTCCATATTCAGCAAGCAAAACTACTTTGAAGGTGTTGGTTTTTTAACTAACAATGCTAAGACTAATAAAAAAACACTAAAAAACAAAATAAACAACAGAAACAGACTCATAGATACAGAGAACCAACTGATGGCTGCCAGATTGGTGTTGGTGGGGGGTTTTAGAGGGAATGGGTGAAAAAGGTAAAGTGATTAAGAAATAAAATTTGATAATTAAAAAATAGTCATGGGGATGCATAGGGAATATAGTCAATAATACTGTAATAACTATGTATTGTGTCAGGTGGGTACTAGATTTATTTGGGCGATCACTTTGTAAGTTATAAAATGCCTAATCACTATATTGTATACCTGAAACTAATATAATTTTTGTATGTCAAATATAATTGAAAGATAAAAATTATTTTTTAAAAAGATAGACACTTTATTAGACTTAACTAAAAATATTGACTTTATGATTAAATTCATTCTCTGATTTGTACAACTGAAAATTCCATATGGTAACTTACCTTTATGGTATGTATACTTATAGAAAAGTGGCATCAGATAGACTTCACAGGATTCCAGAATGGGGTCAGGAAGCTTGCATTGATTTCAGGAGCAGCTTGGGGTTATGTCCAGAAGGGCTCTAGTAATTTCATTGTGAAGGGACTTAACATGGTAACATGGTAAGGTAATTTGCACCAGCAATATTTGCCCATTTTAAGTAGAAGCTAAATAAAAACAACTGTATAAGTATTTTATTTCATTATATTTTCTATCAATTCCATTTAAAAAAATCACAACCTGCTATTCTCTTGTGCCTTTCCCAAAAGTTAGGTATATGATTAGTCTTAGCATTGTTAGTTAAAAAACCAACACCTTCAAAGTAGTTTTGCTTGCTGAATATGGAGCCTGTGATATTTTTACTGTAAGAACTTAGTTGTCTGGAAACAACCTAAATATGCATCCTTAGGGAGCTAGTTACATGAAGTTACATAAAGTATGGTTATATACCACAGTGGAATATTATGCAGCCATAAAAAGAAATGATTCTACTGATTTGGGATGATCTATAGATTACGTTTTTTCAGTGGATGAAAAAAAAGCAGCCAGGTACAGAGCAATGTGTACACTATCATTTGTGTTGAAGGGGTAGAAAAAGATGTGTGCATCTGTGTATTTACACCTGTGTAGAGCATCCCTGGAGAGATGTTGGTTCCCTCTGGGCAAGGACACTGGGTGGCTGGGAACAAGGTGACAGGGAGGCTTTCCACTTCAAGCCTTTGTATACTTGAATTTTGAACCAAGGAAATGTATATCCTATTCAAAAAGCAGGTACATAAAATTAATATTAATATTTAATATTTAAGTAAATAAATCATAGACTCCTGTAATAATCTTACCTTCAAAAACCAGAATTTCATTACCTAGAGTAGCACTGTCAAATCGAGCTTCCAGTGATGCTAGGAGTGGTCTGTGTCTGCACAGGCCACGTGTGGCTTTTTAAAAAATGGAATACTTTTAAAATATATATATCTTTTTTGATTTCAGAGAGAGGAAGGGAGAGGGAGAGAGAGAGAAACACCAATGAGAGAGTCATTGATCGGCTGCCTCCTGCACGCCCCCTGCTGGGGATCGAGTATGCAGCCTGAGCATGTGCCCTGACTGGGAATTGAACTGCGATTTCCTGGACCATAGGTCGATGCTCAACCACTGAGCCACGCTGGCCAGGCCATGTGTGGCTTTTGAGCACTCAGAAGGTGGCTTGTGCAGCCGGGGAACTAAATGTCTAATTTTCTCTAGTTTTAATTTACATTGAAATGGCCATATGTGACTAGTGCCTACCACATGGGTTGGGTACAGATCTAGAATAGATGGCTTAGATTATCTCTTCTGTTTAGACTTGACTAAAATTTACGTGTGTTTTGGGAAAAGTAATTATCAGTTTAGACTGTCGGGGGACATTTTATTGTTGCAAATCCAAGAAAATGCCTCTATTTTCTTTTTGCCCTAGAATTTAATGCCATCACATATTTCTTGCAATAAGTGCCTATTAGTAAGATTAGAAAATCCTCTTTATTACCCAGAAAAATCATTTTAATGGAAACTGTCTGCTTGTGGCCTTTCTTGGAACAGTCTGTTTTTGAGAGGTTCATTTTCTCGTTTCTAACAGCCTATTTGTGTGTCTCTGCCCAGTGTCACCTGCGGGCACTTTGTTCTTGAGCCCAGCAGCTGTTGTGAGGCTAGGGGACAGTTTGCATTCTTAGCCAGCAGCTGCCAGGAGCGTTTCTAATCTGGTGTTGGCAGGAAATAGTGCACAAGTGGAAGCCAAGTCAAAAGAAGCTTGAAAAATAAGCAGAACGACTTTGGAAGCCACCTCACATGCAGTTGTCTCTCCTCTGGGGATTGCCTGGAAACTTTTTAACATAGCTGCACCCGGAGCCCTTCGGGGCAGGGCCATGTCTAATTGTCTTTAAAATCCAGGCCTACGCCAGGAGGAGGGTATTACCACTGCTATTAATTTTTTAATGATTGACGATGCTGCAAATTTGTTTAATTGACTAGTGACTAACTTAAAACTGCTGTTCATCCGGCTAATGCGGAGATAATTAATGGTGATGGGTCCCTCCTTTCTCTCCCTTTCTGCTACACAATACCACCCACCCTTTGCTCCTACGTGAGACATTTCAACAGTGTGCACACATTATTTATTCATCCGTTTTGCAGGCAAGCTTATACAGAGTGAGCACATCCTGATTTAGCCCATCTTTCCTGCAGTATAAGGTTTTCAGGAGGTGAAGGCATAGGTATAAATGCGGTGCCTTGTCAAACGAAAGGCAAGAAGTCCTCAGGTTGGTATACCAACTAAAAGGTTTTGTCTCTAAAGAGGAAATTTTACTAAAACCTTACGCTTGGGCCTCAGATCATTCTTTGCACCACAGCCTGCTTGACAGCCCCAGCCTCTGAGCTCCCCAGAAGGCGGAGCCAACGCAGGTGGCCCCGTGGAGGGGGTGCCCTGCAGGCTGTGCTGAGCTGAGTGCGTTCCCTTGCAGACCTTCACTGCCTGGTGTAACTCCCACCTCAGGAAAGCTGGCACCCAGATTGAGAACATCGAGGAGGACTTCAGGAACGGCCTGAAGCTCATGCTGCTGTTGGAAGTCATCTCAGGTGGGTACGAAGGGTGTCTTCGGTATTGCACCCAGCCCTGCACTCATGCACATGAGCAGCTGGTGGCCTCCAGGTATAGACACTGCACCTCAAGTTCCCCTGAACCCACTGGGCATGAACATGGTGCTATCAGCAAAGAAAGCCTCTCGAAGAGCAGTCTCTGGGAGTTATTTTTCTATTCAAAAAAGGGAGTGTATTCTGTTTAAAATTGACATATTAAAGTAGTGTTTATATCACCCACCTTGTAACAAAATAGAAGAAAAAGTGACATTTATTTAATGACCCACCATGCTGCCCTCTCCACTCTTAGTCCAGCTTACATGTTGGCATAACTAGGGGGTCATATTGTGCCCTGAATGTCAGTTGGCTGGTTTAGCCTTTGGGCTAGAGAATGGGTCACCCTTGAAGGGGTGTGACTGGGAAGAGCGATAACAAATCTGCCCTGATCCATGTATCTTCATCATCAGCTGTCTGAGAGGAGCCCTGGCAGCCACCTCTATGGTTTGAACTAGCTGCCCTGATTGACAGCTAGTCAGCAACCCCAAATGCTCTAGGACATCAGGCAGCGTCCCTCTTTACTCATTTGTAATTTAGCTCATAGACCCAACTGGACACTCTCAGCAGATCTGAAAAGCCCATGGCCTTGGTAGCATGGCTCCCCACTGGTCCATTTGATCGTGAAGGTTTTTTGGCTAATGTTCCCTCTTCATGTGATTTGGAAACCGGGGCACATCAGAAACAGATGACCGTCTCCATCTGAGGAAGGCATGGACTTAGAATTTTCGCATTTGATTCTGCATCAGGGGGCTGGTTTGTCTGTCTACACTGATCTATTTTCATTCGACAGGGGAAAGGCTGCCCAAACCTGACCGAGGAAAAATGCGATTCCACAAAATTGCCAATGTCAACAAAGCCTTGGATTACATCGCGAGCAAAGGTGTGAAGCTAGTGTCCATCGGGGCTGAAGGTGAGCTGTCGTTGGAACAACCCTGCTGCCACCCTGACCTCACGGTGGGACTGCACTGGATGCCGCGTGGGCCAGGCTCTCCCCAGGCCCTGAGCACAGAGATGAGAAGAGATGGTGCATGAATGGCAGACCAGGGCCCTCGGGTTCTCTGTAAAGAATAGAGTCAAATATAACGCCATCCTCTCCGAACCTATTGTAGGAGTGAGAAAGAGCTTACACATCTCAAGGACTCTCAGTGAGAACCAATTATAAGAAGGAAATGCCTCTTTGTTCTCCGTGGGAGGTCAGGAGTCCCTGTGAGTTTGGCAGGAGCTGGGGTCGCCCTGCCTCTCATGAACCTGCCACCTGGAGCCTGGAAGGACCAGGTGAAGATGAGCCTGTGTCCTCTGTATTTCATTACAGGAGTCCCCCCATATCTGCTGTTTCACTTTCTATGGTGTCATTACCCATTGCCAACCATGGTCTAAAAATATGAAGTGGAAGGTCCCAGAAAGAAACAGTATCTAAGTTTTAAAGTATACACTGTCTGAGTAGCATGCTGAAGTCTCGCTCTGTCGAACTCCATCCTGGCATATGAATCATCCCTTTGTCCCTCATCTCCACCCTGTGTGTGCTCCTCGCCCGTTAGTCACTTAGTAGCCCTGTGGTCATCAGATCCACTGTGATGATGATACTGCAGTGCTTGTGTTCAAGTCACCCTTATTTACTTAGTCATGGCCTAAAGCGTGAGAGTAGCGGTGCTGGCGACTCAGACACTCCAAAGGGAAGCCATAAGTGCACCCTCTAAGTGAAAAGGGTGTTGAGCATGGGGTTCGGTACTGTCCTCGGTTTCCGGCATCCAGTGGGGTGTTGGGATGTTCCCCCGAGGACAGAGGGCCGCAACTGTATTTAGAACCTTACTCATCTAGTCTTTAAACTTTGCAGACTCATGGGTTGTTTTCAGTGATTACGCATAAGTAAGATTTGTGCTTGTTACTAACACAGAATTCATTTAAACAGGAGACATTTGGTTATGAATATCGTATTTTTTACTAGACACACTAGTCAAACATAAACTGGTCTTTCCATGTATATATTTTTTCCAATAGCTGTGGAGTCAAAACTTATAAGAGACATAACTTATAGGAATACTTTACGTACTGATTATGTTATCTTTACACTAGTCTGTTGTTGGTTTTTCTTTCCTAAAGAAATTGTTGATGGCAACGTGAAGATGACGCTGGGCATGATCTGGACCATCATCCTCCGCTTTGCTATTCAGGACATTTCAGTTGAAGGTAAAGATGTGCTTAAAATCTGAGTGTGTTAAGAGTCAGAGTAACTCGCAAGCCGAGCTTACAAATTAAAATCTGAATGTGGTTTTATAAAACTGAACAGCCACATACATGATTGAATGAAAGATCTGTAAGTGGTTTTTACAAGTTTTGTGTGTATGGGGAAGACCCCACAATGCCTCTTCATTCATGGGTGTAGAATCGTTTTGGAAAACATGAGCAAATGCTCAGAACAGAAGTCGCTTTTTAAAATGAACATTTTTTGAGCTTCTTATTGCTTATTATACTAGTACGTTCTTAAGTATAACAGAATTCTTTAGACTTACAGCTGAAACACTATTTTTTTTGGGCACAAAATATAATTAATTGAAATCCAAGTTTGTTTGTTTGCCCACCCTTCCTCCCTCACTCCTTCCATCCTTTCTTCCTTCCCTCGCTCCCTCCCTTCCCTCTGAGTCCCAATTCTTGGTGCTGCTATTGAAGATGAAAATCTTTAGTCCTACATCCACTGTACTCCTAAATATTTTAATGAATTCAGCACTGTTGGAAAACTGTCAAATGAACATTTTTAAAATTAGAAAATTGCCTGTTTAGCTCTCAAATCACAAAATATATAGTTGAACATATTTAAGGATGGTTTGAATTGTCCAGTCAGCCTCCCTAATTTTGTCACCTAACAGGTAACCAGGTACCTGCATGGTGAGGCGTGGGGCCATTGTTTATAATTCTGCCCAGGACTGAATACCCCCTGATGCTGGTCTTTTAAAGTGATTTTAGTTACTAACCAACCAACAAACATTAAAAATCATCAGTTTGCCTGCTGTTGTAGCCAATGACATGAAGCCCACAGCACTTGCCCCTAAGGGGTTTCTGATCCATTGAGATTGTTCCTTCTAGCACCGTTTATGTCACCTGAAAATCAAAGATGGGACAATGTTGAGACCTCAATAATTCAGGCTCAGGAATGATAGCCAGCTTGAATTAGTAAATAGTTTGAGTTTGAAGACTTCGTACAGTGTACTTTCTTTAGAGTGCATTCCTTTTGTGTTAATGAAAATAACGATGCTTCTTAAAAGTTTCTGCTTTATTAAAAAAGAGTAACTGCTCAGTGGTTAGAGCATAGGACCATGGACTGAAAGGTCTTGGGTTCAATTCCAGCCAAGGGCACGTACCTCGGTTGCAGGCTCGATCCCCGGCCTTGGTCGGGGTACATGTGGGAGGCAACCAGTCAGTGTGTCTTTTTCACATTAATGTTGTTTTTCTCTCTCTCCCCCTTCCACTCTCTCTGAAAAGCAAAGGAAAAAATATCCTCGGGTGAGGATTAAAAAAAAAATACTGTAATAATTTTATAAATTTTATAGACTTCTAAATTTAAATATTTGAACAGTTAAGCCCACTTTAAAGAACAAATATGATTTAAAAAATCTTGTTCACACCATTGCATTTGCTAGAGCAGCAAATTGTTTTTTTTAGAGGTGACTCTGACCTCAGGTGTTTTCTGGTCGTTTACAGGTTTCAGATTGTGGTTATGCTATTTTAACAAGCATAGCTATGAACGGTATTATGCATTAGAGAGTTTCCCCAAGTCGTCACTAATAAATAGATGATCAAACCGCAGTATTTTGTAGACGATCACCATAAACAGATGTATTAACCTGCTTTTCAGAAGGTCCTGAAATGAAACATTCAAAAGCAGTAATTTCATTAGCAAAGTTCCCACATCTCTTCAATCAGACGCCTTTCTGTGTCCAACACAGTGTAGGATGTTGTTTGCTAACTTACGTTTTTATTTTTTTACTTCATGGGGTCATTCTTTTTGTTGCTGTTAATCCTCACCCGAGGGTTTATTCTCCATTGATTTTTTTAGAGAGTGGAAGGGAGGGAGGGAGGGAGGAAGGAAGGGGGGAGAGACCCAGGGTGACCAGTCCTTGAAGTTTCAGGACAAGCTTACATACACAATTTAGAACCAAAAGACACAGCAGTTCAGAATCAGCCAAGATGGGGGTTGGGGAGGTGGTAGGGTCAGAGCTACCCCACAAACGGGTGCAGTCNCCTTGATTGGGAATCAAACCTGAGACCACTGAGCCACACCAGCCAGGGCTATGGCGTCATTCCTAACCTCACTTAATTTATATAAGTTATAATAAAATCATCTTAACTTGTTTTAATGATGTATATTATGTAGAAAAAGATGTTATTATAACTATTTTTTTAAAATCCTCACCTGAGGATATGTTTCTGTTGATTTTAGAGAGAGAGGAAGGGAGAGAGAAACATTGATGTGAGAGAGAAACATCAATCGATTACCTCCCGTATGCACCCTGACCAGGGATTGAACTCACAACCTGTGTGGGTATATGCCCTGACTGGGAATTGAACCCAGGACCCTTTGGTGCATGGGAAGACACTCCAACCAACTGAGCCACATCAGCCAGGGCTACAACCGAATTCTTTGAGGGGCTAGTTTCCTAAAACAGAATGGTGGGCCTCTTCTAAGAAATAAATGCAAGATTAATATGTCTATTGGTGAGGACAGTCCAGATGAAAGTACATGGGGTTCCTGGGTGTGTTGAATGGTTTTTTATGACAGAATGACAGATGACACTACCTATTTATAACATGGTTTTTACATCCACAATCAGCGTTTGTGTGTGATGTGTGTGCCAAATGGCCATGTTTCAGATTTCACCTGCACCTTCGGGGAGTGGAGTGACCCACAGTCACGGACACACTTGGCACAGGCTGTTCCCCTTTGCTGAAAGCATGGAAATGGACGTGGGAGAGAGTCAGCTTTGGTTAGAGCCACCAGTTAAACAAGGAGAGAACTTTGTTCCACATTCAGAGCCAGGAGTGTTCACAAGCAGAAAGAAATCAGGTGAAACTCACCGACGTGTAAATCCAAACTTCAGTAGCAGTTACAAGATTCTATTGATCTGCTTTACATGTTTACTTTTCTAACCTAATTTTCACTTAAACTATAAAAATATAGTTTTACTTCCTCCTGATGTGCTTTTTCTTATTAATCACATTGGCCAGGACCTAAAGGCAAGTAGTCATATATAGCAGCACAGTTGGGTATGGAGTTTTATATTTCAACATCTGTACCAGGTACCAGTTAATTTATTACTAAAGTCTCAGAACTTCATCTTGCTCCTTAACAAGAATTTGCTAGACAAGAGACATGAGCAGGAATCGTTCAAATTATTCTCATAGCACGTGAAACTTCGGGACTGTGCTTATGTCAACTTCGGTATAGGTCAAAGAAAAGTCTGAACTAGGACAATTTAGATAAATAATTACAGAATACTTACTTTGATTTGGAAAAAGTCAACTTCAAATCCTTGCTAAAATGGAAGGCCAGTGTTAGTTAAGAGTCCACATGTTAGTTAAGAGTCCACAGGGACTTTCTAAATTGTTAAAACTTAAGCACAGGCAGAATCCTAGGTTATGTAAGTGGCTTTGAAGAGCTGTTTGGTGTATGCAACTTTGGGGTCACCAGAATCAAGTGCCAGGGTGGTTTCAGAAGCTGTCTAATTCCAGACTGAGTAGCTTACACAAGAGAAATTTATTTTCTCACAGTTCTGGAGGCTGAAGTCCAGCATCAGGTGCCAGCATAGTCAGTTTCTGCTGAAGGCCCTCTCCCTGCTTGTAGATGGCTGCCTTCTTGCTGAGTCCTCACAAAGCAGAGAGACAGAGACAGACAAACAGAATGTGTGCATGCACATGCAAACGCTGATTTCTCTTCTTAGATGGGCACTAATCCCATCCTGAGGGCCCCATTCTCATGACCTCATCTCACCCTATTGCCTCCCAAAGGCTACTTCTCTAAATGCCATCATCCTGGAAGTTAGGCTCACAAATGGATTTGGGGACCCAAGCATTCAGTCCATACAGATGCGCATTAGATTTGTTGGGGGAAGTGCCTGTGGTGGGTAAAGTGGGAGAGCAGAGGATGGCAGAGGGAGCCCTCAGGCCAGAGCACTTGGCTGACACCGTGCTGGGGGGGGATGGCTGGGGGAGGAAGAGCTCACTCTGCAGGGCCATCCTCAGGTGGCTCAGCCTGGCCAGTGGGGAGTCCTTAAGCCTAAACTGCTCTCAGAGGGTCCCACGTGTGGCAGGAGTGTGACCTCTCTTGCTGGTGTGTGGCCTCTGGGGAGTGCTGGGTGTGGCAGCTGGACCGTCAGTGCCTCTGTGCTCCCGGCAGCAGGAAGCTGAGCAGCATAGCTTTATGGTGCCAAGGGCATGGGAGTTGGGGAGTTAACTTGGTCAAAACTCAGGTGGCTGAACTTGAAATTTACTAGTAAAAATCTTTAAATATTATAAAATCTCTGGGTAAGGGTAGACATTTGAGACAGGTAGCCTCTGTGAATTCCATTTATCTAAGAATGTAAGTTATAAATGAGGTGAATGACAGGTGACTTAAGTCATAAACTATATACTCTTTAAAATTTTTCATATAACAGTAAGTTACTAGTGCCCTGAAGGCTGGTTTTATGTTATAACTTGCAGTTGCACGCGCCATGTCCATTTTGAATCCATAAGTGTCATCAGAAGTCTGTCACTAGGCGCAGGGTTCCAGCTCCTGTCCTCTCGCAGAGCCTGGGAGAAGAGATGCTGCGAGAGGGGCTGGTCCTTGGGGAGGGAGACTAAAGCTGGGCGAATGAAGTGGTGAGCATGTCCCTGTGGACACTTTTCTTGGCTGTCATTCCAGAAACCTCTGCCAAAGAAGGCCTGCTGCTGTGGTGTCAGCGGAAAACAGCGCCGTACAGAAACGTCAACATTCAGAATTTCCACACCAGGTGAGCAAGGCGCCGGCCCACCCGCTCGCTGGTGCCCGGGGCAGGGAGCACTGTCACACGGGTCCTCCCCTGCCTGAGAGGCATTCGTGTTTGCAGCAGGACCATGGCCACCGAATTCCGATGCTTAGGGTTTCTCAGGGAACACGTGACTGAGGTTAGGTGCTGGTAAAACAGTTGTGCATGTACAAGCGAGTGTTGTGTGGCACTTACAAGGGTCCTCAGAACACGGGGGCGTGAGAAGCCACCTTCCTGGGCCTTCACCCCGCCTGGGAGGAGGCGGTGGGATCGCTCCTCTGTGGGAAGATGAGACCACAGCAGAGTCAGACCCAATGGCCCAACTACACCCTGGTCCCTCTGCTCCGGAATCAGCTCCCTGTGCTGAATTCAAGAGAAGTTTGAAAATTACAGACAACTGGACTAAGGAAATCCAGATACACTCTGAGAGGGCCGCTTCGGGCTTCTCTCAGGCCTATCTGTGGTCGTCCTGTGTGAGTGGAAGAGTGATTTAGCTTCTCACCCTCTGTACGTGGGTCACCCTGAATATAAGTGGGTCCCACCACCATGGAGAATCAGAGACATGAAAAACCGGGATGAGACACAGCGAAAACGTGGGGAGGTTCCTCTGGGCAGACAAATGCTATTGGAGTGTCTACCAGGTGCCAGGCACTGGGCCAGGTCTTGAGTGTGTGGAGGTGAGAAAGGCTGTCCCTGTCCCTGGATATGCTCTCCACAGGGTGAGAGGGGCCAGTGTAAATGTTAGAGGTCCCAGAAGTGCTTCCCACTTTCCTTGCTGTTCTTTCCTTTTTATTTTACAGTAAAATCTTGATACAAGGGACTAATTCGGGCAAGGGGGTGTCTGTTAAAGCCTAAATCTGTTATATAATAAAGTAGGTTTTCCGAATGCATATATTTAAAAATTGACAAATTAGTTTACCTGTTTTTACTTATGTAGACACGTTTGTGTAATTAAGTATATATGAAAAGTTTAATTTCACAGGAAAGTTTTCTATATGTATTACTGTAATTTTAGGTTTATACTGAATAGGTCTAGTAAATGCGTGCATTCCCCAGTCACTGCAAGTAAACAGATGCACATGGCTGCAGCGTGGCTTCGCACGCGTGGGAACATCAGCATGCATTAGAACTGCTGCAGAAAAAAAACTGCTGCAGAAGGTCACGCCATGAGACAACAGAACCAATTACCTCATGCAATGCGCTGTGATCACATGCTAATCATTCACCAAACATTGCTTATGAGTGGTGACTCTCGGATTTATTTATTTATTATTATTTTAAAAAAATATATCTTTATTGATTTCAGAGAGAGGAAAGGAGAGGGAGAGAGAGAGATAGAAACATCAGTGATGAGAGAGTCATTGATTGAGCCCACAACCTGGGCATGTGCCCTGAACGGGAACCGAACCCTGATTGCTGGGATCCTAGGTCAACTCTCAACTGCTGAGCCACACCCAGCCAGGCTTGGATTTAAATATGTAGACTGTAGTTGTAGATATGCAATATTTATGTCAGCGAAATTACTACAGTATTTTTTCCAACATATGGCCTATTCACTAAAGTTTGTTAAAAATAACAGTGAATTAGTAACACAAAAACAACCTGTTATTTTGATTATAAGCAAATCTTGGTTAAAAGCGTTTTAAAATTAACAGGGTGTTAATTTTCACATATGACATATGGACTGGACATTTTGTCTGTTAAATCCGAAATCGTTAAGGTCCACAAAATCAAAGTTTTACTGTGTTGATTTTAGAGAGACGGAGAGAGGAAGAGAGGGAGGGAGGGAGTTGGATTTGCTGCTCCCGTATTCATACGTTCATTGGTTGCTTGTATGTGCCCTGACTGGAGATTGAAGCCCAACCTTGGTGGATGGAGATGACGCTCTAACAACTGAGCTACCCGGCCGGGGCCTGCTTTTCTTCCTCTGGCTGAGAGTGGCCCAAGCACTGCAGCAGTGTGGCCCCTGGGCTCCCTTCTCCCCCTGGCCCTTTGAGGAACAAACTCCCACTTCAGCCTTTAGGTGACCCACTGGTCACCACTGGCGGGCCGGAAGCTGGGAACAGTTAGTGCTGGTGTCTCTGGGGAAGCAGACTGAAACTCACTTCCCCCCTGCTGAGTCTCTTAGGACCCTACATGTCTTTGCCTTTTAAAAAAAGATGCCTTATGAGGAAAGACAGAGGCTACCTGGGAGCTAAGGGTGGCCATTCAGGTGTGTGAGGACTCTCAGAGGCAGGCAGGTGCTGGACATTTCAGGGTTGGCATCCTTGTGCGTGGCGAGTTGGCCGACTCTAGATCTGGAATAACGGAGACCTGGGGAAGGAGGAGGAAGCAGTCGGGACTGGAGGGACAGTGACAGAGGAGGACACTGTCAAGGGGCGTCTTCCCTCTGGTCACTGCTGGTGCTCCCAGCACAGAACCAGGCAAAAGGAGGGGGCTCAGGGAAGGAGGGGGCCTGAAGCTGAAAATGGAAGTGGACCTCAAGGGGGTGGCCATCCTTGATCAGCGTGGGAAGAAGACAGGTGTTCAATAAAGGGGCACAGGCCACTGGGTGGGTAGGGAGGAGGTGATGGGCCTTTTGTGCCTTAAGTTAGACAGAAAGCAGTTAGGGGCCCTGGGGCCTGAATTNGGCAACTAGGAGGGGGCTCAGGGAAGGAGGGGGCCTGAAGCTGAAAATGGAAGTGGACCTCAAGGGGGTGGCCATCCTTGATCAGCGTGGGAAGAAGACAGGTGTTCAATAAAGGGGCACAGGCCACTGGGTGGGTAGGGAGGAGGTGATGGGCCTTTTGTGCCTTAAGTTAGACAGAAAGCAGTTAGGGGCCCTGGGGCCTGAATTTCAGGCCACCGTCTGGGCTGTGCAGATCCTGCTGCTTTCTTGGCATTAACTCGTGTCCTGTTCTTCTCAATGGGGTGCAGCTGGAAGGACGGCCTCGGTCTCTGTGCGCTCATCCACCGGCACCGGCCCGACCTCATTGACTACTCAAAGCTGAACAAGGTCCTGGGCCCGCATGACGAGCCCACCCCCCAGCATGTGGTCCCGAGATGAGCACATCAGCACGGAGCCCCTCCTGCGCAGCACTGGGCCCCACGCACACAGCCCCGCGGCCTGGCCCCGGGGAGCACAGGCGGGGCGGCAGGAACCGCTCCCGTCACCACGAGGGTGGGACAAGACCCAGAGCCAGCCACCCTTTTAGCCCAAATTAAGCTATTTGTCGATTGCGCTTGACTTACTACGAGGCTCTATGTATGTTGTTGGAGATCTTACGTTCCTAGGTTGTAGATAGAAGTGAACCCTCCAGCCTTCTTTCTCAAGTCCCTTTGCCTTTCTGAGGACCTAGTTGCAGACTTATCTACTCAGAGTTGCTAACTTGTCTCGCACACAAGGGACATTTCATAATTGTTGCACTGCTGATGCAGATATTAGTTGTAGCCTCAGAAAAGAAGTTTGAGGATTTTGTTTTTTGTTTTTCTCTCTTTAAAAAACTCAACTTAGGGAATTTTAATTCTCCTGTTAAGCCTAAACTTTAGTGTGCTTAAGTCTCAGAGAGGCTTTGGACTCTTCCTTCAAAGAAGTTTAGGAATGTAGCCTGTGCTGGGGTAGAGAAATCGGGCCCATCCCTCGTGGTGAGCTGCCGGCGCTGCCTTGGAGGGAGCGCTGCGTGGAGGTTCGAGACCGGCCTGCCCCGCTCCTCTGGTGGCCGGCAGGGCGCTGCTCGGTTGCTGGTGTGCTTAGCTGGCCCTTCACACCCTGTTTCGTGTTTGACGGGTCCTGTCCTCTGCATGCGGCCCTCACCTGTGTGGCCTGGATGGTCGTTGGCGGTGTCCTGGCTGTCCCCGCGTGTTAGCTGTCACCTGCTCACCATCTCCCCGAGACTGGCACTACGGCACTGGGATGGAAGGTCACCTACAGGAATGGAGCCACCAGAATTTCTCAGCTTTTCAAAGCTTATATTTTATCCCCAAGCTTTCGAAATGTTTCAGACATACAATGTATAAATTTTTCAATCAGTCTATTCTATTTGCAAAATGAGGCGATTGTACTAGATGCATAGACCTAGTTTTACTAGCAGTTTATAATGATCAGTTTTTATTACAAAAGGTCCACAGACCTGTGCTAATTTGCCATCTCTGATGAGTATAAAAATGGTAATTAACAATAGCAGCTAATACTTATATAGCTCTAGATAACAGTTATAAATAAATACATATATGTTTATTATATGTGAACATGTATTAATGTGTGTGGTATATAACATTAATATGTTTATACATATATATACATTAATATTGATGCATATATTAATACAAGTACTCATCTATTATATATATACACATACACATGTGTTCAATCTTTGTAATGCACAATAAATAGAATATATTGCACCTATGAACATCCCAGTTTTACTGATGAAGACAGTGAGGAACTCAGTGATCTGCCCACGGTCACATGGCCAGTTGCTGAGCCAAGAAAATCCTTAATTGCCACATTTTATCTCTGTAAGTTACAGTCTAAATGAGATCACTCTCACAATGCCTCAGATTCACTCCTCTCCGTTTTTAATGCTGAACATTTTCTAATATATTAAACAAAAAGAAGGAAACTTTTACTAGGCTCTGTGGCTTTATGAACATTTGCATGAAGTATCCAGGTAGGACGCCCTGTATGACGCAGCTACTTTCTATGAAATGCTCACATGCTTCGTTTACCAATGTTTAGTTGGAAAAGCTTTTTGCCTGAAATAATCAGATGCTCTGTGAGGCAGGAAGCTTGCTTGGTGTCTTCCCTGGGTGCTGTGACAGTGTTTGAAGCCTGCACCTTTAATGTTTCACCATATTAAATCAATGTGCTCTTGGCAAAGCATTGCCGTTTCTAAGTGTGTAAATGGTTTTGATGTTAAATTCACCAAAGCCATTCCCAACTAACACTACCTTTCGTTTTGACTTTTCTTTCTTACATTCCCCATCCCCCCATTCATAACCGTCAATCCTTTTAATGGGTCAAAATAAGAGATGTTAAGTCCTTTAGTTTTTCAGTATTTCAGTTCTGCACCTCTGGTTAAATTGATTTTGTTGCATTTTATATATATATTTAACCACTTTTACAGTGGAAGATAAATGTAATCTTAAGAAGAAAACTTTCTTCACAATTTTCATTTGCAATTTGAAGTTTTCATAATTTCTTCTCATCTTTAACATCCAGGAACATGAGTTTGATCTTTGGACCATCTGGTAACATGTGTTACTCACCTGGCACTCACCAGGTGGCACATTTCCTTCTCTTCGCCCCTTTGCTTTTGTACATTTAAAACAAGGTTTCAGCTAATTCTCCGTGATCACCTTCCAGACCCTGCCCAGAGAAAGTGCCTACAGTGTTCCTCCCGCCCACAGAGCCTTTGTTCTCTTACACCTTTGCTCCTGTTTTATGAATTGCGTTGTGCATGGATTGTGTGGTTTTGCATCATTTTTTATGTTCTTCTAAGTGTTTGACATGATTGGGAAGAGATAGGAAGGAAAATCATTTATATTATTATGATTTTGTGTGGAAGGGAAGGTCTCTTCCCCAAAGTGAGATATATAGAGAACGTTATTCATGCGTCCTGTTCAAAAATACACTTTTAAAATCTGTGTGTGCTGTTTTCCTACAGGATGACCCAGTAGGAAATATTAACCTGGCCATGGAAATTGCAGAGAAGCATCTGGACATTCCCAAAATGCTGGATGCTGAAGGTGAGATGACCGTGCTACCTGCTGGCTCTGATGAAGTCTGTGGCTGTGTAGCTGTGGCCATGCATGGGGATTAGTGAGACTTTATAGTCAGGTTACATCTGGAGCACTTAGGATTCTTCAGTGAGTATTAGGGGATTTCATGTGTAGCTTGTTTATAAATGATTTTTAAAAATCCTGCACACATACCAAAAAAGCCAGCAAGACTATGGTGAAAGGATTTGGTAAAAGGTTCAGATCTGGCAAAGAAACAGAATGCTTTGGTTTGTGATTTTCAAAGAAAAACTTTCTATTTTAATTTTTTAGCAACATAAATATTCTTATTGCATAGAGACAACTTCAGTAAATAAGTCTTCTTGTGAAGCGCTTAAGACTCCACAAGGAAAAAGTCTTTCCTTCCAACCAGAAGATACTGAATCAAAATGTAGATTGTACCTGTCGAACTTTCACATTTCACACTTAACCTTTAAAAGACGGCATTTAAAAGACAGCATCATACAAACTCCTTATATTTTCCAGGATCAACTGTACAAATAATGGTGTCTTTCCTTTTGCCTGTAAAAAAGAACGTATATGCTTAGGTTTCTGAGTATTTAACCTTTAAAAGACGGCATTTAAATTCCGTCAGCATTTAAATTCGGCCAGCGGGACCCACTCCTTGCCGGGAACTAAAGTTCCCTTTCATCGGATAAAGGTTAACTAGTCCAAGTTAACTTCTGTTTAGTTAGATCTGAAAGAACTTGTAAGTATGCAGTTCAGCATCACTCCTGCGGGGAACAGTTTCACATGCCTTCTGTGATCTCCATACACGGTGAATCATAGTTGTACCTACAGCAGGCTCACCATTTAAACCACAGATGTGGGGACCATCCGTTCATCACTTACTCGCGCTCACTCATGGTGCAGCAGACACTTACTGAGCGCTTCCTGTGAACGAGACCCTGGGTACCCGGGAGGTAACGAGGTGTGATGAAGGGTCCTGACCTCAGGGAACTTAGTCACTGTGCTTTTGTTACTGTTACTCCCCAGTGGTCCATCGCGTCCACGGATTCATTGCTGAGAAAAGCAAAGAACTTGATTACAGTCAGTAGTCAATCTTCTGTTTCTCCTCATGTTTGGTGATTGCGTTACGGCTGCTATAACAAGTTACCACAAGCTGGGTGCCTTAAAACAACAGAAATTTATTCTCTTGCCGTTCTGTAGACTCTAGTCAAAGCCAAGGATTGGCAGGGCCACGCTCCCTCCAAGGCCCCCAGGAAAGGATTCTTCCTGGCCTCTTACAGCTTCGTGAAGCCCAGGCCTTCCCTGGCTTGTGGTGGCAGCGCTACAATCTCTGTCTCCACCAGGCGTCTTCCCTCTGTGTGTCGTTCCCTCCTCTTGTAAGGACATCAGTCAAAATGGATTAAGGGCCCTCCCTACTCCAACAAGACCTCATCTTAACCTGAGCCCTACTGTCAAATAAGGTCGCATCCACAGCAATCAGCATAGCTTTTTGGGGGACATAACATTGATCTTTCAACTAAGATTCTAATTTTACCTATTTATTAATTTAACCATTTATCAAACACCTGTTTTATTGGTGTTAATTCTACTTATGGCTCCTCCCAAGTCTTTAGAGGGAGAAAGTCAATAAAACCATGAAGCAGCAACAGAGAGAAGTCCTTTGCCCTTTCCCCTATCTGTCCTCTCTAAGTTTGCATTTGTGGGGCCTCTCCTTTGACCTTCCCATATGGTAAACAATTACCCAGAGTTTACCCACTTGAGTTAATAGCTAAGACACTAAAGAGGGGAGAAGTGGGGTACCGTCTGGTGCATTCATCTTTCAGTTCACTTGTGCCTCCCTAACATGCTACAGTTGAGGGCAAGTTCCCGTTCACCGTTATCTTTACTCCGGCCTGTGGACATTATTCTTGGTTCTTCAGTTTCTCCTTGGGCTCTGAGCCCTGGTCAGGGCACATGTCCGTTCTCTGTGTCCTTTGCAGCTGATGGGATGTGCAGCTGATGGGATGTTAGCACTCTATTCATCTCCTCCGCGTGGCAACCCCCACCTCCCATTACTTTTCTTCATCTTTTTGAATGGTTCAGAGAAATTCTCACAAGCTATATCATTCCCTTTGTAGAGTAATTTGTCATAAGAATCGTCTGGCTGGCCTGATGTGGGGACGCGGGGACACACCTACCTCCCCTGCAGCCCCAAGCTAGCCTTTGTGTCTCTGCTGCCGACATTGGGACTTTCACCTGCACAGCATCTTGCTAACTTCTCTTATTCCCGCCACCTTTATTGTCCTGTTGTACCCTGGTCCCCCTCAGGCCACTCGCCCCACCTGCTGCTCTTTACCTGACTTCCTGTCATTCGTGTGTGTTGATCTCTGAGCCCAAGTGGGATTTTCTGGTGGCTAATTGTAACCGGCAGTAAAAACTGCAGAAACACTTCCTCATTCTACTGTCTTCCTGCCTTTTTTTTTTTTTAAAAAAATATATCTATTGATTTCAGAGAGAGGAAGGGAGAGAGAGGAAACATCAATGATGAGAGTCATTGATTGGCTGCCTCCTGCACGCTCCCTGCTGGGGATCAAGCCCACAACCCAGGCATGTGCCCTGACTGGGAATCGAACCTCAATCTCCTGGATCCTAGGTTGATGCTCAACCGCTGAGCCACGCCGGCCGGGCTGTCTTCCTGCTTTTAAAAGGGTGTGGAAGTTGTATCCTTGTTTCCTCTGCAAAGTTCTTTTGAGTTGGCACCAGGTTTATATGTGTGGGCGCATCTGCTCTGTGTGGGTTTGCAGAAGGACCTTGCTGACCACGGGCTGCCACATGCACAGAGGTGGAAGTCTCTGGGACTGTCACATGTGCGTCCTGTGGGGTCAGGTCTACATCTGGCCACGGATGTGACCAACTCTGAGCTAGCGTCCCTTCTCCCTGGCAGTGCCTTCATTTCTGTTGGCAATTCTCAAACGTGCACAGAGGCGTGACTTTGCAGGTGTGACTTCTTTGGCTCGAGCCCAGGTTCCCACAGCAGGAGTGTGTGGACGACGGAGGACCGTGGCTCCGACTCCCTGGAGGCGGCTCGCGGGCCTGCTGTTGGGGCGCGGGAGCAGTTAACCTTGTTTTCTCCACACAGATGTAGTAAACACGGCCAGACCCGATGAGCGAGCCCTAATGACTTATGTCTCCTGTTACTATCATGCTTTTGCGGGTGCGCAGAAGGTGAGGACTTAAGACACGAGTCACCACTCACCCCTCGCCTCCTGTGTCTTCATCTTTTCTATTGTTTTTCTCTTTCCCCTCTCCTCTGAGTAGGAGACCCGCCTGGCTCTGAGGGGCGGCTGTGTGTCTTCTTTAGTGTAGTTTTCTTTGAAACTTGCTTTCTGTCCGTGCACCAGTGTGCCGTTCATGTTTGTTCTGCAGAAGGTTCCACACTGTTACACAACCCACGTCCTTTCTGTTAACACTCTCTGGAAACCCAGCGACTAGGTTTCACTTCAGGGAACTACAAGGTGTCTTTTTAACTTCATTCTGTCCAGCGACTGAGCTCAGTTTAAAGTTAAAAAGCAATAAGCAAAAAAGGCACAGCCGAGGTGGAGGAGGAAGGACGCATGTCACAAGGTTCTGTTTTTCTTTCCTGTTTGTTAATTCGGCAGCTGACATAAACGGTAGCAAGAGTCGTGGTGTGTACAAGCCGCGCACACCCTTCTCTGTCCGTGTTTTGTCGCCCTGGGGGACTTCTGTCAGTGGCGTGGTAGGTATGTGTGGAGGCATCACAGACACTGTCCCGTGAATTTCATCTTCACAGCAGCTGCCGGTCTCAGAGCAGAAGGCAGTTGTCGGGGTGCTTGGGGAGGGGGTACGGCAAAGAGACGGGGCACAGACTCTGCTGCCGTATCCAGCATCTCACACGGTGACCGGCCTTATCGAGGCAGAAGTGGCAGACGACCTGATGGTCAAAAGGACGTGGCCCATGAGTCATTTAAAGTGTCCTGGAGCTCTGGCTCTGATCGCAGCACACGAGCTCCCACATTAATGCCTCGACTGCACTTTCAAAAGATATCGAGGGTGAGGAGGAAAAAGCCCTCAGTTTGGTTATTTAAAAAGTGCTGGTTCGAATCGCTGCGCTCGAGAACCGTCTCGGTGCTGTCCAAGGTTCGGGGCTGTGGGCCCAGAGACAGAACCTGTGGGCCTAGACCCATTTGGCCTTCCCTGGTTCACCCCGGCTTCTGCTCTCCGTGTGTGTTCTGTGCTGTTTTCCCTCCCTCAGACATTGTGAACACCCCCAAACCGGACGAAAGGGCCATCATGACGTACGTGTCCTGTTTCTACCATGCTTTCGCGGGCGCGGAGCAGGTACCTACACGCATCCACGGGGCTGCGCTGCCCCCGCATGGTGTCTGTGTGTGTGTGTGTGTGTGTGCGCGCGCGCGCATGTGCGCGTCCACACACCTCACATCTGCCTCGGAGTCTTTCCAAGTGTTTGTGATGACCTAATACGGCAAGTTCCAAACTGTGAATACTTTTTCTTAACAGCTTTAACTTTAGACAGTTCCTGACGTGTTTTATCTCTCTTTCCTTCTAAGATACCGCTTTTATTTTATTAGTAAATTGTGGGAAACATTTGTGCTTTAGGAAAAAACAGGTGCCGCAGACATTGAGCCATGTCCACTGAGAGTAAAGGGGAAATTCACCCGGGAGGGTGGGTGCCTCCTGGTGCCCTGGTTCTGAGAAACCTAGAAACTGCCTTCACTGCTCAGGGATTTGTTCCAACATCTTTCAAGACTAATCCCATTTTAACTGAAATGGGGAGAGGCTTATGATGTTAGAACCTCAAAAAAATTCACATTCTCTAAGACAAGCAGCCTGCGGGATGGTCATTATGGGTAAATGTCCTTTTCTCCATCTTTACCTGTTTCTGTCTCCAGCCCCCTTCATGTACGCATACATGGAGAATCCAGTGGGCTGGGTGGACAAAGGCTGTGTTACCCCTGTGCTCTCTAAGACCATCACAGCACGTGAGGATCACCAGGGCCTTAGAGGCAAGGCTGTGGGACAGGCTGTAGGCCTGGAAGCCCGGATGGCACGATGCTCTTCTTGACTCAACTGTGACCAGGTTCGAGGCGCTTTGCCAGTCCAGGCCCAGGTTTCCCTCCATAACACAATGATAGAGAATCATTACCTCACCAACTTCTTGTGTTGGGTGAACGAGGTCTTAGAGCCCTCAGCTCTGGGGAAGGATCCACCTAGGAAGTTCTACATGTCCATTCAGGAGAGGCCATCAGTGAGTGCAGTGCAGTCACGAGTGTTCAGGACCCGCCATTTCTGCTTTGGTTCAAAGGCTAGTATTACTCAGGGAGTTCTCACCCCACGGTCCCGAGGCCGGGACGTGAGAGGCATGCTCAGGCAGACACTCAGGGACCTGAATGTTAGTTTCCTCGACCCATGCATTTCCGTTACTAATCACTTGATGTTTACAAAGTTTGTGTTTGGACTAATGGTTCTTCCCACTGTGCCCTACAGTATACTCAGCCTGCTCTGTAAGTCTGTGTGAACACTGTAAAAAGGTGTGAAATGACTCATTATTAAACAGCCGCCCTGTCTCCTCCACCCTAACCTGGAGTCTGTGCCATGCACAGCACGCACCTTCCTCGCCCTCTCCTGCCCACCGCGCTCAGTTGTGTGTGCACGTCTGTCGACAGAGCTGTCCTGTTTACCTATTGTGTTTTACAGGCCGAGACAGCAGCTAACAGGATATGTAAGGTTCTTGCTGTGAATCAAGAGAATGAGAGGCTGATGGAAGAATATGAGAGGCTAGCGAGTGAGGTAAAGGAAACGGTGACCCACAGTCCTGTTTGTACCCACCCAGAGGGTGAGACGAGAGGGTGAGGCGAGAGGGTGAACACGGGTTGTCAGTGTTGTTTCTTTGCATTTTTCATCTCAGATGGAATAAAAGTAGGAAAACACAGTTGAACTGAGGGTGGTTCATCTGTAGCAACATAATTGGCACGAAGGTGATCCAATGGGCCTTTGAACCAGCCCAGAGCACAGAGGTGGTTTGCACATTGAAGAAGCAGAACATGGTCTCATTGTCAGCTGGGCACCTCCAGGCTGGGCTCCCTGAGACAGCATTGCACTGTTTTCCTGGTTCTGACACCACAGAGGCTGCTCGCCTTGTTCAGGAGCCTGGGCCACAGTGACCCAGCTCAGAGGAACTGCCCCGTTGGGTTAGATGTGGCTGAGCCTCAAGTATGACTGTCTAGAGAGAAATGTGGGGAAGGCCAAGCCTCTGTCCCAATGTTTGCACACGAGTTTCCGTGATGCTCGGCAGCTGGGTGCCCTGTTAGAATAGCACTTTCCATGTTGCTCTTTTGTTCTGTTTTAGCTTCAGGGGAACTCAGCACACAGCTTACGGCTGAGGGGAGGTGCACAGCCACATCCTCTCTGGAAGGACCTCAGTCATGGTCACATAGGCACACACCAAGTAATGTTCATCCCAACTTAATACAGCCGATATTGGCTGTTCTGGACAGAGTACCAGGACACGGGAGGGAACCTTCCCAAGGAAGGGCTTATGTTAGTCCAGCTGAATGGCACCGAGTTCATACCTTCACACTGCTGCTGGGGGAAGGGTCCGTGGCTGTGTTGTTTAACCCAGCGATGGACTTCAGGGCCGAAGCATCACCGGGACCTGAGGACCACGATCCCAGTTAATATGTCCTTCCTTTTCCTCCTCAGACCCTCAGGCTGGGGCACATCACCATTTAAACGAATTTTTATTATTTGCTGCCATTTTCTAAGTTATCATAAGTGTGCATTATTCATGGCTTTTCAGCAGGTCATTTCTAAGACTTGGTAATTCAAGACAATGTATTTTGTCCTCAGGCATTCACTCCCATTTCACTTTTATCGTGTGGATTTCCTTGAAAGCTAGATATCAAATTAAAATATACTTTAGCATTGAGTCAGGCCCAGATTCACAATACGTTTGCTAGTAAATAAATTCATTAGATTGGAGCTTAAATTAAACCCATTTCTTCGCTGCATTTTCACACTGCACTCCACCTTGTCAGGTGATTTTTTTGGTTTTGATTTTTTTTTCATTTGAAAGTCCATCCAGCATTTGTCTGCTAATGTCTGGTCCTCGAGTCCTGTAAATGTCACACATGTGTGAAACATGACTCGTGCTGACTGAGTCCCACCTGTTGTGTGGTGGTGTCGGGGCGATCGCTGGTGGCCGCTGGAGGGACGCTGAGTTTCCACTCACGCACAGAGGCGCCTGTCCTCTCCTTTCGGGCGGGGCCTCATCCTTCTGTAGTTTAGGAACATTAAGTTAATCCATCCCAAGTTGTGAGATGGGTTTCCAGCGGGGGCACCTTGCTGGTGTTTTCAGCAGTACTCATGTGTTTTGGGAACAGCTTTTGGAATGGATCCGCCGCACGATCCCCTGGCTGGAGAATCGGACCCCTGAGAAGACCATGCAGGCCATGCAGAAGAAGCTGGAGGACTTCCGGGATTACCGCCGGAAGCACAAGCCCCCGAAGGTGCAGGAGAAGTGCCAGCTGGAGATCAACTTCAACACCCTGCAGACCAAGCTGCGGATCAGCAACCGGCCAGCCTTCATGCCCTCCGAGGGCAAGATGGTGTCGGTGAGTGGCCACTGGGGACCGTGGACATCTCACATTGTCTCAGTTAATGAACAGCTTCGTTCTTGGTGTCTCCTCCTGACCACCATGCATCTCTTGACTCCTCTCTGCACTGGTGTGGAGCCTCCTAGACAGCAGGCCTTTAATAAACCTGATGAAGGGCCTCGTCCTTTCCTCCCTCTGCGTGACTGGCCGTGTGTCCCCGCCAGGCCTGCCAGCAGCTAGAATAAGAGGCCTCTGTTCCCGGCTGTCATGACCCCTGTTCCTCCTCTTGAGGGCTCAGCCCTGCATCTGCCTCCCTTCCTTTGCATCATCAGTCCCTTCCTCTGCCAAGTCCCTCACATCAGCACACAGAGCTCTCTAGATCCTGCCAAACAGAGCAAGGGCTCCGTGACTGCACATCCCTGGAGTGTCCTGTTTCTTGGCCCCCCTCACAGTGGACATCTAGAGAGAGGTCTTTCGGGGACCGGCTTTCAGCTCCTCCCCACTCCTTTGCTCTTTACTCTTCTCCCTGCAGTAACCTGGCTCTGTCCCCTCCCCCAAGACTGGTCTCACCCAAGTCCACAGTGTCCATGTTGACGATCCTATCACTGTCATTTCTATTTCCTGTTCTCTGTAGCTTTGAGCCTGCTCACTGCCGCCTCTTTCCCAAAGCTCCTTCCGCCCTTGAACTTACTGTTTTCTTCCTGCCTCACCAGTGGGTCCGTCCAGTCGTTCTCCAGGCTTTGTCTCCTCTGCCCTGTCTGCAGACAGAGGCTCCTGGCTTCATGCTGACGTCTTCTCTGTCCCCACCCCTTCAGGTGATCTTGCCCAGGCCTGTGGCTCTGATCACCACCCAAATGCCAATGCCTCCCAGACTTCAATCTCCAGCTCAGACTTTTCCCCAGGTCCAGGTTCATGGATCTGCTTGTACGTCTCAAAGCATTTCAGACCTAACACATCCAAGAGTCCCTGCAGTGTTCTCTTTCTTAGTGAACCTCTAAGTTACTGAGCCCCAAACACAGGGTCATCACTGACCCTCCCTTTCTGTCACTGTCTGGCATCCAGTCCCTCAGCTTCCAGATCACGTCTTAAACCTGTGCCCTTCTCTGCACTCTGCTGCTGTCCCTTGGCCAGGCTACCGTCTTGGCCCTCTTACTGGCTCTTTTTCTTTTGCCCCTAAAATTTGTTCTCTACATAGCAGCCACCACCATCTTCCTAAATATAAACCAGAGTGTATCTCCTTCCTTCTCAGAACCCCCCAGAGTATTTAGGGTAAGATGTAGGCTCATTCTCCTGCCTCTAGGACCCCATGTGCTCACCCCTCGTCCCCCCGCCTGGCTGCTCTGCCCTCACTCACTACAGGAGCATGTCCCCCGGGCCTTCAGCTTGTTCCCAGGGCCTGGAGCCTCACTTTCCACTTCTGCGCAAAACTGGCTCTTCTGTCACTTAGGTCTCAACTCAAATGCCACCTCCTCAAAGGGGAGGGGTCTCCTCTAAGTGACCTGCCTGAAGCACCTGCCCCCATGGGCTCTCGGCATCACCTGGCCCTGTGTTGTCTTCTGGTCACAGCATATCACTGTCTGGAGTGAACTTGTTTAGTTATTGTCTTTCCGCCCCCCGACCATTGTGAAGGCTGCACGGGGACAGGGACGTCACAGGTGAGCCCAGGCCCTGGGTCAAAGTTGTGAGAGGACTCACTTTGAGGCTCCCTCGTCCAGCTCTGTCCACATCTGAGGAAGTATCAGGCATTTGTTAATTCCTGAGAACAGCTATATTATTTTAAAAGTCCTGGATGATAGGCTTTTAGAAGCTAATAAATTTGAATGGTGGTTGGTGGGGGAAGGAGGTAAGGGAAGGAAAACACTGTCGGCCACACAGTGGAGGGGTTCCAGGGGAGCCCGAGAGGCTGGTGGGTGATGGCCGGGCTGCCCTGTCCTCGCACACCCAGGACATCGCCGGGGCCTGGCAGAGGCTGGAGCAGGCAGAGAAGGGCTACGAGGAGTGGCTGCTGAACGAGATCCGGAGGCTGGAGCGCGTGGAGCACCTGGCCGAGAAGTTCAGGCAGAAGGCGTCCACGCACGAGACCTGGGCTTATGGTGAGTGACCTGGCTGGGGCTGGGGACAGAGCCACGAGTGCAGCTACTAACTCTGTCCCTAACCCCGGGACCCTGTGGGCAGGGTCCTCGCCTCCCTCCTCTCTGCTCTCTCCTACTAAACCTCTTATTTTCTAATCAAGCAGATAATGTATTTTTCATGAAATAGCCTCGAAATGTGTCTTCCCACACTTGGCTGTGGGGCCTGGCCTCCTGGCCGCCTCACTCTTTCCTGCTTGACTCCACTGTTGCTGTTCATTCCCTAACTGTGGGTCAGACAGCCTGGCTTCTGCCAATAGGATGTTTGTTAAATGCCACAAAGCAGCATAATTTCCCACTTAGGAAACCTGCTACGAAGGAAGAATGCAGGTATCGTCTAGTCTCAAGGTCATTTCCCTCAGATTCGTCTCCCCCTTGGGGTTTGCACAGTCCTGTGCCTGTAGCCGTAGCCATGAACTGTGCTGCTCACATTTCCCACTGGCTGCTCTTTGCTGAGCTCGAACAAAGTTCTCTCCCACCCCCGGATAGGAGGTGCCCTCGTCCTGCGGTCCCTTATGCTCTATATGGTCTGACTGTCAGGCTTGCACACGAGACACTGAGAGGCACAGACCTGGACCTGGACATGGAACCAGACAGCTGGAGCCCATCCTTGACACTTCTCAGCTCTGTGCCTCTCAGGTGTCCCCTTCACAGTGGGGATGACAGTCACACGTCCCTTGCAGGGTTCACAAAAATGTAATCTGTTCATATTCATAAGGTGTTTAAGCCAGTATGTGGCACATAGTAAGTGCAAGGCTGTCACAGTTAAATATGTGGTCATTGCTTCTGTTTCCAGTTTTTATAGAATTAAGTCCTAAAGGGCATCAACAAGGGGATGAATGTGGGTCCTGTTATAACTGCAGCCGTTGCATGATTTAAGGAATATTTGTGGGAAAATAGGTAGAGGTTCGGAGAGAAAATTGTCTAATTTATTAGGGAAAAAAACACAGGTTACATTTAACCACAGAAAGTAAAGCTTTCAAACAAACAAACAAAAATGTAGGGTCCAGATTGGACCTGTGGGTAGGCAGACAGAGTTCACGTGTGGTATCTGGCGATCCAGATGGCTGTGAGCTAATGACTAACAACCAAGCGTCACACTGGAAGATCACATCCTTGCTGCCAGAATCCTGACCGAGCAGGTTTGGTATTTAGAAGGTGGACGTGGGCTTTCGTCCTCAGCAGATCGACAGCCCGTCCCATGTACGGTCCCCGTCCGGCTTTCTTCCCCCTCCTCCTGGTTGACCCGTCACAGAACTTTGCAGGCTCAGAAGCCACCGCGTGACATAGGAGTATTCTCACTCTCCCGACAACCTTTGCAGGCAAAGAACAGATCTTGCTGCAGAAGGATTACGAGTCAGCCACGCTGACCGAGGTGCGGGCCCTGCTGCGGAAGCATGAGGCCTTCGAGAGCGACCTGGCGGCCCACCAGGACCGCGTGGAGCAGATCGCAGCCATCGCGCAGGAGCTCAAGTACGTGCTGCTGCGGACACCCATGGGCATGGGGAGAGGGGCCGCCCTGCAGTGTCGCCAAGTTTCTTTAAAGACCCTTGTCCCATTTGGTAAATACAAATTTCATCCCCTGTTCCTTTTCCCCATCATTATCACTGATATGTTTGCACATTTTTAGAGCCTGTCGCATAGTAACACAAATGTGTTTTATTTTACTTTAAAAAACATTTTTATTGATTTTTAGAGAGAGAGAGAGGGAGAGGGAGAGAGAAACATGGATCCGCTGCCTCCTGCACACCCCTCAACGGGGATTGAGCCTACAACGCAGGCATGTTCCCTGACTGGGAATCGAACCGCCAAACTTTTGGTGCACAGGTCAATGCCCAACCCACTAAGCCACACCGGCCAGGGCACACAAATGTTTATTTTAATATGTTATATTTTTATACTCCCATGATCCTCAGCTCTGAGGAGAGCAAACTCCTCAATTAACAGATACAGCCTCTTTTAAGAGTATCCTATTTTTTGGCCTTGCCCAAATAAGCTCTTAATCAATATATGTGGTCATCATATCCAGTCTGCACTGTATTCGTGGCCTCTGCACTCTCTGACTTCTCATGCTTCCTGAATGTTGGATGTTTGGCTGGTCATTAAAATCACAAAGTGAGGGGGTGAGCTCTGGCCAGTAGGCCAGTTGGTTACAGCGTCGTCCCGATACGCCAAGGTTTCAGGCTTGATCCCTGGTTAGGGCACATACAAGAAGCAACAACTAAATGCATAAATGAATGGAACAATAAATTGATTTCTCCCCCCCCCTTCCTTCCTCTCTCTCTAAAATCAATAAATAGACATTTTAAAAATGAAGTGGTGAAAGAAACTCAAGTCATTCAATGTTCTGTAATAGATCCCATGAGTAATTTGAAATAGTCTTAAGTGTTGCCCAAAAATTTAAGTAATAATTTTTTTAATCCTCACTTGAGGATATATTTAGAGAGAGGAAGGGAGAGAGAGAAAAAGAGAGACACATTGATTGGCAGCCTCCTGTATATGCCCCAACTGGGGATCAAACTTGCAACCCAGGTATGTGCCCTGGAAATGGAACCTGAAACCTTTTGGTGGACAAGAGGACACTCCAACCGAGCCACCCAGCCAGGGTGGTAATCATTTTATTATTATTATGTTTCCAGGTATCCCTAATGCCTATTTCTTCTCACAGTCAAGAGAGGAACCACGTACGGAATTTAAATATGAGGTCATCTTATTGATATTGATGACCCTGTCCCTTTTATCTTCCCTAAAATAATAAATCAAGCTGTGTGTGCAGCTTTCAAAGTGCCTGTAAAGTGGTGTGCCCCGCGATGGAGACCCTAGCTCTGTGAAAGCGGTTATGTGTAGAACTAACACATACGCATTAAGAGAAGAGGGAGAAATGTTTACCCTAAATATTTACCGTGAGCCCGAGCATTGGCATCCCCGTTACGCATTAGTAGAAGGATTCCTGCATGTTTTTTGAAGTCTTTCTTCTCTTTAATGTTAGCATTTTAAAGAGCCGTAGCCTTTCCACTTTGCATTCAAGGCTGTGCAAAGTGCTGGTATGTTTGGTTGGTTTTGTTTTTTATGATAACAATAAGCACAGGAACCTCAGTCCCTCTCGGTCAGGGATGTGCACGTGTGTTTAGAAAACTGCTCCTAAGACCTGAACAAGCTCTGGCTCAGTGACAGGGAGCTTCTTACCCCCTGGAGGGACACTCGGATCACAGCCATTGCTTCTCCTTCCTCCAGCAACAGAAACAACAACACTCTGTAAGGACAAGTTAATGTTATTTAGGAGGGAGAGAAACAAGTAATGAACAGCCATTGCCTGAACTTAAGGTCTTACTAGAACCAATTATGGTTTGCTAAGAACTAAACTTAAGCTTCGGGGATGGATGTGGTCGGAGAAGGTGCTTGTCTGGCCTGCCTTGAGAAGCAGTCTCCTGATGTCCTCAAACCTGTGAGCCTCGCTTTGATCTTAACTAGAAGGCGATTCAGCTCTGTACAGTATTTAACCTTTTTATCCCTGGAGGTACCAGGTTAGCCTTCTAGCAGAGAATTCGCTTGAATGGTCAGTTCCAATCACTTCCCCTCACAGACCTCCCTCTAGGATGGAGGGGCAGGCTGCTGAGGAAGGGGACTTACTTAGTGAGAAATCACCTTGTCCTTGCTGTCACGCAAGTGCCTAAGACAAGTTGGGACCTCTTAGTCCCCAGAGGAAAGGCTCTACTCTGCCAGGGTTAGAGGTCCCACCGTGCTCGAGTCCCACTGCCCCACCCCTTCAGGACTGGGTGCTCATCCCCTGTACACGTGAGGCCTAGTGCCCTCTGAGAGGCGCCAAGGACACTCGGTGCCAGCTGACACATCCCCCGACTCAGCCCCTCCCACAGGACTGTCCTCGGTCCGATAACCCGCTTCACTTACAGGTACACTGCGGCTTAAATGCAGTACTCCCTGGGGCCTGGCCAACAACCCAGAGGAGAATAAATAGCCCGAGGCACTGAGAAGACAGCGCTTCTCTGTTTAAAAATCTGTTGACCAGCAAAGTTTCGCCAATTCTTCTCGTAATAGCGATCATGTTTGCAGTGGTGATGACTAACAAAACCCTGAAATACCTGCCAATTCAATCAGATCTTTTAAAAAATATGTATAATCTGTTTATTTGGACCCATGTTCATTTTTTCCTCTATTGTCTGGAAAAGCTAATCTTTATTTTCACTTCTAACAGTGAGCTGGACTATCATGACGCTGTGAATGTCAATGATCGGTGCCAGAAAATCTGTGACCAGTGGGACAGACTGGGGACGCTTACGCAGAAGCGGCGAGAGGCCTTGGAGGTGAGGTCTTTAAGCCACCCAGTGACGTGAAACCTTTTAATAGAGGCTCTTCAATTAAGTCCCTGTTACTGATTTCTTGTTTTTCTGTGGCATTATGAGTATGAAACAAAACAGATTATCCAGTGGAAGGAACCTCTAAAGAGAGTATGGAAAGTGCAAAAAAGAGGGAAATGGGAAGTTGGGAGCTTTGTACTGTGATATATCTACACAGCAGTGTGGCATCCTTCTGAATTAAAAAAAGTCCAGGGATAATACGATCATGGTATAAACCGATTTTGTACCAGATAGTAATCACTGTGAACTTCCAGAAGTCCTTATCTAAGAGTAAACTGAGCTGTGACTGAGTCAGGATCAGGAAGAACTTAACTCGAGATGTGCAAAGGGAAATGGCAGCAAATCTTGATGCAGGGAAAATGCTAGGAAGAGTCAGGATGAATTTTGCTTTTCTCAAATACAAGACAAGGGAAACAGCAGGCAGTGGCTGGTGTTGAACTGCACAGCACAGCAGTCCTCCCTTGTCCGGGATGAGCCCAAGTGGGGCATGAAATCGTGCACAGTATCGCACCCTATATGTATTATGTTTTTTCCTATCCATACATACGTATGATTAAGTTTAATTTATAAATTAGGCACAGTAATACCTTAACAGCAACAATAATAAAATAGAACAACTTTAACAATATACTGTCATAAAAGTTATATGAATGTAGCCTCTCTCTCAAAATATCTCACTGTACTCACCTTCCTGTGATGGTGGGAGATGACACGGCGGCTGCATGATCATGATGAGATGAAGTGAAGTGGATGACATGACATAGGTTAGGCTTGTGGGGACCTTTGGACAAGACCTCCAAGGGTGGATCACCTGCTTCCGTGGATCCTGGGTCACCCAGCCGTGATGGTGTTGATGGCTGATGTCAGGAGCAGGTGGTACCCGTGGCTGGGGAAGTTCAGTATCTTCAGGCAGCGGTTGACCATGGGTAGCTGAAACCATGGGAAGTGAAACCACAGATAAGGGGGTACAACTGTACCTAAGTATCTTTCACTGTGGAAGACTCATGGAAGGAAAGAAGCAGTTCACAGTTTTCTGAGTCTTTTCACCCTGACTCTGGGGAAATTTTAAAAGACATGGTCTCATGCTTCCTAGATGCCAAATGGCTGGTACATGTCCACCTAAAGAAGGAAATGTTGAGAGAAAGGAAGTACCAGGCGTGTAATGAACAGCTTGGATATTTTAGAATGGGAGGAAAAAAGGAATCTGATTACGGAAGCTGTGCAGATACAGGTGCTGTTCCTGTCGGCCCTGCTTCCTCTCTGCGATGTGAACCAGCTTGGTGTCATTGTCAGGCTGGAAGCCTTGTGCTTTCACTTACCCAGAAAGGCAAAAAAGAAATCTGTTAAATGCTGAGTGAGGGTTAGAGAGCATTAAACTATAGCTCCTCGTGCCTTCACGAGGTGGGTGACTTTTGGGTAAGGGACCCTCTCTGCACACTGTTGGCTGAAATGGGAAGATGCCCTGAATTTCCTGTGTCCAGAGTGGTTAGGGAATGTCATTCTCTGACTTATACGAAGTTACTGTACACCCACCGAGGCTTCTCACGTTCCACAAAGGGGCATGTAGGGGATTCCTTTAAGTACTTCCAAAACCAGCTACTTTGGATGTTATCAAACCCTTCGATTGAGATGACACTTCAAGAGCTCCAGGGCTCAGCCTGATTATTGAGTAGTGGTTAATCTCGTGTATAGACACGTCAGTGACAAGAGCACTATGATTAACAAAATGTTGGGTAATAGTATATAGCTCTGGGGTGCATATTGGCGTTTTCAGATAATTTTCTATTATTTAGACTGTGATTACGCTCGCTTCTGTTTAATCTTCAGAGAACTGAGAAATTGCTAGAAACCATCGATCAGCTTCACCTAGAGTTTGCCAAGAGAGCTGCTCCTTTCAACAACTGGATGGAGGGCGCCATGGAGGACCTGCAGGACATGTTCATTGTCCACAGCATCGAGGAGATCCAGGTAATGGGCCCGCCTGTCCTCTCACTGAGCTAGAACCGAACTATCCTTTCCAAAACTTAATGAGTGGTGCTCTTTTGTTTGTTTCATTTTTTCACTAAGAAAAACATGGTTAGGCCCCGGCAGGGTAGCTCAACTGGTTAGAGCATCGTCCCAGTACACTGTGGTTGTGGGTTCAGATCCCTGGTCAGGGCACATACAAGAATCAACCAATGAACGCATAAATAAGTGGAACAACAAACCAATGTATGTCTCTCTCTCTGTCTCTCTCCCTTCCTCTCTCTCTAACGTCAATTTTTAAAAGGACTGCTAAGAAAAATGTGGCTACCCTGTAAGTCTTAGCTTTAAAATGTGCATTCTACCTTTTGCTGCCAAATTAACCAAATGAACATCAATCAGATAATGGTGAATATATCTATAAGCATCTGGTTTTCTTAAAAAAAAAATGTGGTATCATTGAGCACAATAGACATACATGCTCTTGGAATTATTCATGGAAAACTATGAATTTACTGGCTACTAATTCTGATGCAAAATGTGTGTACATTACTGTGCATTAAAATCTACTGAGTTTTGCCTGGGCCTGTAGGGTTCAGTTAGTTGGAGAATCGTCCTGTGTACCAGAAGGTCCCAGGTTTGACTCCCTGTCGGGGCACATACCTGGGCTGCAGGTTCAGTCCCTGGTTGGGTTATGCATGGGAGGCAACTATTTGATGTGTCTCTCTCACATCTCTCTCTGTCTCTCTCCTTCCTTCCCTTCCTCACTCTCTAAAATCAATTTAAAAAATAAAATCTACTGAGTTTTGCCAGATAATAAAGCATCAGAAACCACAAACCAGCACCTTCTGCCTCCCACACAAATGTTCTGTTCTCATTTCTTCTGGACTTCAAAGTTGTAAACAAGACTGCTGAGTGGTAGTGAGGGGGAGGGTGACTCTCCAGTAGCCAGGACCCAGTTTACTTAAAGACCATGTACAGTAAACTTGAGGTATAATAGAATATAAAGATGAAATACTTTAAAACCTTTTTTGCTGTAAAATTGATAGGCCATGAAAACGAATCCAGATATAAAGGAAATACTGAAGGTTGGGATTTGGACCCACTTCTGTGTTGCAGGGAGCATTCTAGAAGGGCTTGCACCTGGGTGAAGGGGAAAGAGATTACCGGACCGACACGGCACTTGCCTGTGGAAGAGGCTGAAGGTGTTTGTAGTGTGCACACCTGTCAAGGGCTGGCAACCTAGAGTCATTATGTTTGGAATAGTGAGACTTATGGCCGTACTCAGTGCATGGAGTCATTTCTTTGTTTAGTGAGACGTGTGCTGGCAGCTGGTCTGTGGCAGCAGCTAAATCCAACACTAACTTTGCCCTGGGAGGTGGTCCTCGTGCCATCGACACACAGCTGAACAATGGGGCTGCTGTTTAATAGGTGGGGGTTTTATGAAGCCTGAAGGAAAGCGTTCGTTTCTGCAGCCTTTTCTTTTCAGGGAGTAAGGGATGTACCCCCTGGTGGTCTTTAGGTGTAAAGGCAGCAAATGTTGGGTGGGTCCTTTTGTTGGACTTCAAAGGTAAAACTGTCATTAGAAAGGGCAGCGAAGTTAAGTTCTGCTCCTCAGTGGAGAGTAAGAGGCCTAAACCATAGCTGGGATAAGAAATAATGAAAGAAAATAGGATTTTTTTTAAAAAGGAAACACTGGATTTATGGCCATTGATTAAATAGTCATTATGATATCATTTTTTCATTTCAAAGAACTTGACTTTCGTGCACAAAATAGCTTTTATGAAACATCTAGAAATGTTTTCCTCCAGAGATCCCTCTGGTTATAAAGGATTCATGTGTGTGCAGGTGGGATCCCTGCAGTTATGAAGGATTCATGTGTGTGCAGGCGGGATCCCTGCAGTTATGAAGGATTCATGTGTGTGCAGGCGGGATCCCTGCAGTTATGAAGGATTCATGTGTGTGCAGGCGGGATCCCTGCAGTTATGAAGGATTCATGTGTGTGCAGGCGGGATCCCTGCAGTTATGAAGGATTCATGTGTGTGCAGGCGGGATCCCTGCAGTTATGAAGGATTCATGTGTGTGCAGGCGGGATCCCTGCAGTTATGAAGGATTCATGTGTGTGCAGGCGGGATCCCTGCAGTTATGAAGGATTCATGTGTGTGCAGGCGGGATCCCTGCAGTTATGAAGGATTCATGTGTGTGCAGGCGGGATCCCTGCAGTTATGAAGGATTCATGTGTGTGCAGGCGGGATCCCTGCAGTTATGAAGGATTCATGTGTGTGCAGGCGGGATCCCTGCAGTTATGAAGGATTCATGTGTGTACAAACAGAACGTGAAAGACAGTGAACTCCACATGAAGTAAGATCAGTTTCCCCTTGTGTCTCTGGTTAGAGTCTGATCACTGCCCACGAGCAGTTCAAGGCCACGCTGCCCGAGGCAGATGGCGAGCGGCAGTCCATCATGGCCATTCAGAACGAGGTGGAGAAGGTCATTCAGAGCTACAACATCCGGATCAGCTCCAGCAACCCCTACAGCACCGTCACCATGGATGAGCTCCGGGCCAAGTGGGACAAGGTGGGTGACGGGGGCGGGGGGTGCTGGACCGGGGCCTTCATGAAGCCGAGGTTGAGAGCAGACACAAAAACCCAGGGAAGTTACAGTGATGCCCAATTTTGCATCATTTACCCCAAATTTCACAGACAGAATATGTTAAATTCTTAACATATGCTGAATGGCATATGTTAAATGCCATTCAGCAACTTCTGAGGTTTGTAAGGAAAGTAGAGATGATTTTCCGAAAAATCTTATAAATGTTGCAAAATCAGTAAAGGTTATGATACTAATACTATAAGGGAAACTATTTTAAACCCTGAGTGAAAATTTGGTGGCCTCAGCTCCATTAAAGAGTTTAGAATACAAGATAAATATGTCCTAAACATGTGTGAAAATCCCTTAGAAAACTGTATCTGGGAACCTAAGTACTCCTCCTAACTTGCTGCCTTTTACATTGTGGGAACTGCCCTCAAATTCAGAGACAGTGCAAATGGGATCATTTGAGCCTCTTGTCTCATTCTTAAGAAAAATTTATTTTCATGGTTAAAGTTACAGTACAGTGTCTCTAAGGAAGGAGTCCTGGTGGGTGTGAGGTGGCTTGCTGTGAAAACACGCATGAACAGTCATTTAGTTTGACAGTGAGGAAAAACCCCGCTTGGGCAGGAGAACAGCGATAGTTACTGCGTCCTGGAGCTTTACGCAGCCCTGGGCCTCTGATAGCCGAGCCAAGGGGAACACGTTCAGCTGGAAGAGTGAAACGCCATTTCTGAGACTGAGATAGCGTTTCTCCACGCACTGAGTCATGACGCACACTGGCCATGTGGATTCTGTAAGGGAAGTTGAAACTGTCTTCACAGCAGTTTTGCAGAAGACACAAAACACACCTCTGCAGTGGCTCTTTGGTCTGTTGATTCAAAGAGCAGGGAGGCAGTGTGGAAACACCAGTCACAGGGCACCGGCGGAGGGAAGGGCAGGCGCGGGCAGCCCAGCACCTCCTGCCCGGCATGGTCCACCAGCTCAGCGTGGTCCTTGACCTTGTGTGTCTTGGGTCCTTTTGCAATCTGGGGAAGCCTGTGGATCCCCTCTGATAATAATATTTGCAAATTCAAATAAATACATAAGGTTACAACAAAAAGAAATTATATTAAAATACAGTTATTAAAATATTTTTTAACTGGCACGTAGTAATGTCTGTGCTTCTTTACTAGCACATTTAGACCAGCTCTAGCAGCAGGTCTGAGTTGCTGAAGTGGTGATGCTTTCAGAGGTGGATGATCACTGATGTTACATGAGAATGTCTGAGATTCTGTCGTGATGAAGTCACAGGATTGCCAAATCCTACTGCTGCCTACATCCATAACCAAAGGAAGTGCTAGCTTTCAGTTAGAGACCGTGAGAATCAAGACTCCAGTTTTCCCTCATTCAGGTTCACAAGTTCTCTGCACTCTGGACCCGAACCTGTGGGGTTAGAGCTGCAGTTGAGAGGAAGTCAACTTGTCAGTGTCCCTAACACACACCCAGCCCAGTGTCCCTAACACATGCACATCCAGCCCAGTCCCTAACCCACACACACCCAGCCCAGTGTCCCTCACCCACACATACCCAGCCCACTGTCCCTAACCCACACACACCCAGCCCAGTGTCCCTAACCCACTCATACCCAGCCCACTGTCCCTAACCCACACTCACCCAGCCCTGTGTCCCTAACCCACACATACCCAGTCCAGTGTCCCTAACCCACACATACCCAGCCCACTGTCCCTAACCCATACTCACCCAGCCCTGTGTCCCTAACACACACATACCCAGTCCACTGTCCCTAACCCACACTCACCCAGCCCTGTGTCCCTAACCCACACATACCCAGCTCAGTGTCCCGAACACACACACATGTAGCCCACGTCCCTAACACACACCTACCCAGTCTTAAGCAGGCACTGGGTGGCAGTCAAAGCTTGAATGAGCTCTCCCTTTAGTCCCTGAGTTGGGATTCCCACTCCCCTACCTTTTGTTACCTCTCCTTTCCTCCACCATCTCCCTCATCCTCTCAGCTCCCAGCCCCACCCTTTGGACCATTTCTTCATCTCTGGGTCGCTCCCATTGGACCAAAGCTGGCCTCTAACCCCTGCTCTTGGGCCCTGACAGGTGAAGCAGCTTGTGCCCATCCGGGATCAGTCCCTGCAGGAGGAGCTGGCCCGCCAGCACACCAATGAGCGACTGCGGCGCCAGTTTGCAGCGCAGGCCAACGCCATTGGGCCCTGGATCCAGAACAAGATGGAGGTAGGTTGGTGCCCTCCGAGAGCTTTTCACAACTGCAGAATTAGCCCCTGAGCTGGCGCAGCAGTGGTGCCTCTGGTGCTGTAGTTTCTGGTTGGCCCTGGGCTTCTGTAGCCTGTGTGCCCGTGGGCACTGGCAGTGCATGGGGGGTGCACTCAAGGGGACGAGGCTGCTTGCTGCCATCCATTCATTTTGTCATTAAAAACAATGTTGGGGCTCCTTGACCAGCGTGGCTCATCTTGTGCACTGAAGGGTCAGGGCACAAGCCCAGGTTACAGGGTCGATCCCAGGTTGGAGTGTGTGTGGGAGGCAGCTGATTGATGACATCGATGTTTCTCTCAGATCAGTAAAAATGTATTTAAAAAACCCCAAAACAGTGTTGGGGCTTTTCCTTGGTTTGGCCTCCGCAGGATGGGTTTTAAACCAGCCTCCCTGAGGAGGACACCTGAGAGTCACAGCACTTTGTGTTTGCAGAGCTTTAAGGAAGGAAGAGTGACCTTTGAACGATACTGATTTTGGGGTTTATTTTATCACCAAGAACAGCCAGGAGACATTTCTCAGTCCACTAATTTTTCTCCCAGCATCCCTTGCGGTGATAAAATGTTAACTTTTTCCCCAAAGAAGAGAACATCTGAAACTGTAAGGAACTCTTCGCGGCGCTGATGCAGCCCCCTCACCCTGACCTGTGTGGCGGTGGCTGGGGCCGCTCATGCCAGGCCTGCAGCCGGGAGGCTCCCTCACTGTGCGAGGCCAAGTGACTCACTCCTCACCCCTCTCACTTTGCTTTTCCTGATCGTTGCTGATTTCCCCCCACCTTCTAGATGAACCAGAACTAGAGCTAGTTCCATTCTGTGGCACTTCCCTGTTTCCCACGTCATCCAAGAAAGTCGAGTGCACTGGCACTGCCAGGGAGCACCTGACGCGGGGTGGGCGTGCTGACTGCTCACCTGGGGCCTCTCCCTGTGCTTGTGCCTCAGGAGATTGCCCGGAGCTCCATCCAGATCACAGGGGCCCTGGAGGACCAGATGAATCAGCTGAAGCAGTACGAGCACAACATCATCAACTACAAAAACAACATCGACAAGCTGGAGGGAGACCACCAGCTCATCCAGGAGGCGCTGGTCTTCGACAACAAGCACACCAACTACACCATGGAGGTAGGAGCACACGCACCTGCGTGGGTTTCTGGTTGTGACCACCTGACTCTGGGCTTCTCCCACACCTGTCCTGTCTGTTCCCGTGAGGTTCCGCAAGTGTAGAAGGGAGGGTGCCTTGAGCCTTTCCTCCACGGTTCCTGAAAAGGCTTGTGAGTGACAGCAAGCATCACAACAGGAACGCATTGCGCCACTTCTGAGAGAGAAGCAAAAATCACATTTCTAGATTGACCCGATTTGATCTCCCTGGGAGCCAGTGGGTATAAGAGGGCCCCTCCCGCTATTGGGAATGGAAAGATATTTCCAGTGACAGAGACCATACATCGTATATTGTATGTTTTATCTACAGAGTGGCAGTTGCCACTGTTTGACCCCTGGCCTTACTTCTGAGTATTTCCCTCTACAGAGTCTTGGAAAAGGTGGAGAGTGGAGTAAAACAGTATAGGGAGGTGTGCGGTCAGCTGCTTGTCTCCCGCTGGGGCAGTTGTCCTGCGAGGAGGAGGCAAGGCTGACTCGCTGGAAGCCCCTTGAGCTGATCGCTCCTCTTTCCTGGTAGCACATTCGTGTTGGATGGGAGCTGTTGCTGACGACCATCGCCAGAACCATCAATGAGGTGGAGACGCAGATCCTGACCAGGGACGCCAAGGGCATCACCCAGGAGCAGATGAACGAGTTCAGAGCCTCCTTCAACCACTTTGACCGGGTACCTCCCCCTTGAGTACTTTGAAAGGCAGTACCGGGGACATCCAGATATGTTTGAGATAATATCCGTGCTAGTCTTAATGCCCTAGAAGGTCACAGGCACAGGGGATGATTAGTGGCAAAGGAAAAGAGCCACCACAGTGAAGTGTGCCAAGCGCTGACGTTGCCCAGGTGACAGACGTGTAGGCTTGTATGCTGTTCTGTGCAGGTGACTCAGCGAATGCCTTGTACTTGCAGCAAAGCTAGATTTGTTCTGAGTGAACATGTAGCCTTAACAGAGTGTGGTTGTTGACTTTAGGTCACTTTCTAAAGACTTAAATACAAACCTCTGAAGTACTTTTCCTAAGTCACTATTTAGGTAAAGTACCTGATAGCAATTTAACCTATTCTTTTGACATATAAACTTTTCTTTTTTAATTAAAAAAATCCACTTTTGAAACGTTTTAAGGAAAATGCACCAACAAAATGGTGATCATTTTCATAGTAAAGGCACACAAAAAATTAAGTGTATTTTGATTTCAACATTATTGAGTAAAACCAGTTCTTTATAAGAAAATTCCCAGTTTGCTTATCATAAAGGCCACATTCCATTTGTTAAAGATCCCTAAAAAAGGGGAGATTCCATTACTTTGTTTGGGACCCTGTTTATGATTTACGAATAGCACTAAGTGGTTCTTTTTTAATTTTTTAAATTTATCTTTATTGTTGAAAGTATTACAAATGTCC